CCCAGTATTTCTCAATTGGGCGGAGCTCTGGCGTGTTGGGAGGGTTCTTGTCCTTGGGAACCACCTGCACGTTGTTGGCGGCGTACCACTCCATGGCCTTTTTACCGTAATGGCAAGATGCCAAATCCGGCCAAAACAGTACGGAACAACCGTGTTTCTTCAGGAAAGGCAGCAGACGTTTATTCAAACACTCTTTCACGTAAATTTCTTGGTTGGCAGTCCCGGAAGCTATGAAAATGCTGCTTTTCAAGCCACAGGTACAGATGGCTTGCCAAACCAGATATTTCTTTGCGAACTTTGACAGTTTCATGTGCTTGAAAACATCTGCTACCTTTCCCCTTCCTTTTGCCGTATAAAACTCCTGTCCCGGAAGCTGCTTGTAGTCGGCTTTGACGTAGGTTTCGTCGTCCATTACCACGCAGTCAAACTTCGTCAGCATCGTCGTGTACAGCCTCCGGGATCGCGCTTTGGCCGTCGTATTTTGTTTATCATCGCGATTTGGAGTCACTACCTTCTTGTAAGTCGATAGTCCGCCTTGTTTTTTGGCTCGATGCACGGTTGTAGACGATACACCCAGCTTATTTGCGGCATCTCGGAGAGAGAGGTTAGGGTTTCGCTTGAAACTACCGGCAACTCTCTTTGTCGTCTCAGCGGCTTCCGGTTTTCGATTTCCCCCCGATCCAGACTTCCTGGCTGTCGACAAACGTTCCCCAAACACTTTAATTACATTTGTAACGGTTGATTTGGCAACTTTTAGCGATTTTGCCAACTTTGCGTGCGAGTAGCTCGGATTTTCGCGATGCGCGAGCAAAATTTTGATACGCTGCTCTTCTTGCTTGGACGGCATTTTGACAACTGAAGAGTGAATTCCAAAATCAAAATAGGAGCAACATTCTACACACACACACCTTCAAAATGAGGGGTGTTCAGGTTTTTTAAATGCAAAATTAAAAGAAATACGTCAAGTTGATATTGACCAAATTTTGACCGTATAACCCTTTAGATGAGAACCTCCTTTATCAAACTATGTGGCAGTGGCAGAAATAGCACAAAATCTGTTTATAAAGCTGTGGTCAGGGCTGGCAAATGTCATTTTCAATGAAAGATCTCACGCGATATTTACAGAGATACTTCTGTCACTATCATTGGATGAGAAAACGATGATAGAGATTTTCTTCAAAATCTCATCGAATTTTTCGTCATGACAGAACGTGACAGTGTTGTGATCATCGTAATTACTAGCTCATTTAATACTATTAAAGTTACTTGTACCGAGGAAATCTTAATTATATATCCACTCTACCGATTACATACGGTAATTTGCTTAAATTCATCTAAATTAGTTAGAAATGTAGATGTCAAAACCGCATAAGAATTATTCTCATGAGTGCTTGATCATTGAAAAATGACAAGAAAGCTAATGATAGGTAGTATCGTCTCGTGATAGTGAGAGAACCTGTTTTCTCATCGTCACATGATGGCCGTGATATTTACCAGCTCTGGCTGTGGTATCAAAAGAGAAAGTCGATGAAGAGAATCGATCAAAGTCACTTACACCCATTTCCTCCTAACCCCCTCAAATGAGCCTTGAGCGCATCGTGCCGTGGTGCGATCTTGCGAGAACAGAGAGGATGAAAAGAACGACAAACGGTAGGTGCTGGTCGTGTTTTCTGTTGAGCACATCGTGCCATGCAACATTGCGAGAGCACGACAAAAATGATCGTATTAGACGAGCTGCGAGCAGATTGGAAATGTTCTTGATGGATAGCTAAGGCCGACAACATAGTAGAAGCGATTCGATGCGTTGGCAATAAGCGAAGCGCTTGCGTGAAGCTCCCTCTATGAGCGTTCTATGGGAATTGTCCAAACCTATCATAGTGAAAGCGATGCGAAGAGATGTGCAGCGTTCAGCAAAGCGACAGAGCTGTTCGGGTTGTGTTTTGACGACATCTTGTTTGTCACTAGATTCAAAATCAGATCGAATGTATGCATATCCATTCTTGTGTAAGACCGAAACTTCTCTGGATATTTACGAAGATCTTCGTACAAGCTGAAGATCTCCTCATCTCGCCAGAAATTGCACGGATGATCGAAGCATGATTTAACGGAACTTTAACAAACACACTTAAGAAATGTTAAGGAAAATTAAAGAGAATTTCAGGAGAATTTTAAGTAAATTTTTAGAAGAATTTCAATGGGTTCAGACTAGAATTCCAAGAGCATTATGAGGAGAATTTCAATTTCAATTAATTGAAAGTACTCCAAGTGTGTTCAATGGAGAATCCCAAGTAGAATTCCACGATAATTCTGTGGAGAACTCGATGAAAATGTTGAGGATAATTCCAAAAGAATTCCAATGAGATAAGTTTGAATGACAGCTTCAAAGAAATTCGGTAGAGTATTGTATCACAATGTCTAGGATAATTCTGAGGAACGTTTAAAAGATTTCCTACAAAGAATTCACAGCAAGGATTAATCCCATTAGTGTTTGAGGAGAACACTTTCTATCAATATAGGACCCACACTATAGAAAAAAAAATCAAGATCCAGTTTTGGGAAAGTTTTCAGAGACTTTAAATAATTTGAGAATTCTCATATTAGAGATTTGACTGTCTCAGTTCATCAAGGCTCTGGGACTCGAATATTCTAAATGCCAAACTTTTAACATTTTTCAATTAAATGAAAACGTATTTTGACGTGTCAAATGTTTTCAAAATCTTGGTCTCAGGAAAATTATTCAAACTTTGGGCCATTAACATTGTTTTAGATCTGAAATTTATAATAATATGCAATATTCTGAACTGAGCATGGATTTAAAAAAATATGTTAGACTCCAAGACTTTGAAGTACGATCACATCATTCGAGATTATTCTGTCTATTTTGAAAACTGTATGATCAAAATTTCCATTCTTAAGATGCTGTTTGAAATGTAAAGTTGAAATCTTATTCGGTAGAAGATCTGTTACTAATTATTAATTTATAAATTTATGTGATTCTTCACTAGCTTATCCGGCAAACAACGTACTGCCGTACTGCCATGCCCATGACAACCAAATTAAAAAAAAAAACTTGCGAATCCGTCAATCCGTTTTCGAGTTATAGCGTAACATACGAAAACCATTTTATTTTTATTTATAGATAGAGATATATCTCAAAAAGTCTTCACAAAATATGAAATGTCTTCACAGGAATTCAAATATCGTCATAGCTTAAAGTTTCGTTGATACACTTGTATAACATAATGCCAAGTGTCGTGTCGCACAACTTTCTACTCTCTGTTCAATAATGTCGCTGTTTGACGAAGGATGCATATGATATGCTCAGGCACACTCGGTAGTAACTGAGTTTCATCTTCGAAATGACAAAAGAAATAATCGATCCTCACTGTCTGTGAAGGCTTTGTGTTTATCATTTAATGGTCGATCTGTTCATGACATTGCAACTGTCGTCTGAGGTCTATTTGGCACCATTATCGCTGGTATTAACAGTCGTGGACATGTTGAGATGCTCATGCTTATTCGGAAGCTTCCAAGGTACGAAATTTTGCCATGCTGAATGTTCCACTTTCCAATAATTGACCAAGAAAATTTCAATTCGGCACGTGTCTCCCACGTCCTCACAACGGCACACGGAAACATGTATTGAATATAGCATCCCCTTCTCATTGACCTCTTTAATCCAAAGCTGAAAAACATAGGTGCAGTGCACTACTGTTGTTGCATTTTCCCAAGAGCATAAATAAACAATCAGTTCGCTCACTAGGGGAAATCCCAAAACTGTGCTGACCAACTACTCATTTTAGCATATGTTTTTTTTGTGATTGTATATGGTTTGTCTGCTCCCTGATCTGCACACCTATTTTCCGTGCCTGTCATCAACGACGGCTTCGTCATCGTTGGTTTCTTGCGTCATTCAAGGCCCTCTCATTTCTTCGAAGAGCCGTGACTCGGTTGGTCGTTCGCACGTCGTCGATCAGCTTGCGCTTGTCTTGTGCCAAATGAATCATCTATGTCGGTTGACTACGGCTGCTGTCAATATTGGCAATTAGCCAGCCGGGCGGCGTATATACAAGTTCTCCGGAAAGGCTTTTATCTCTTCGCAAGTTATTTACTGGTAAACCATCAACAGAGCGCGTTTTAAAACACATTGATTAGAGGTAGGTGTTTATTGGCGTGGGCTTGGCCTTCTCGCTCTGTTTTGCTTTGATTCGAAGATTGATAGTACAATGATCTGAACGATGTTGATTGCAGTAGCCATTCGTGGGCGATGAGCTAGTTTATTAGTAGTTACATTATTTATGTTCATGATTCGATTACACATACTGTTTCAAGCTGGCGCTTTGATATTCCGTACGGCACTATGGGCCACTGGGAGCATTATTTCAATTTCAGCTGATCTTTCCGGCTCAGTTGCCCAATATCCAGCCCATAGTCCGCCGATGATTGCATCTGTATGCGTATTATTTCTTAGCTGCTCCTTGCTTCTTCTCGTATTCTTTCTTTTCTCGTGCGAACGTTCGTGCGGGATGATTCAACATCTGGCTAGGAAAGGGCTGAAATTTTTATGAATAGATTCCTTTTTCCAACATCCAGCCTCGATGGCGACTTGATTCACCTGCTAAGTCACCGACTAAGCCAACTCCCTACCGGTGGATAAGCTCCGTGACGAGATAAGGCTTATGTAAACAAAGGCAAGCCGTTCAGGAATGCACACCACCTTTGGGTCCCGTTCTACCCACATAAGCGATGATCTGAGGTGCTCGCACTAGATCATCGCCATTTTTACTACAGAACATCCTCTGCTCAGTTTTCCTAATTGAAAAACTGCGTCAATCGAAAGCACACCATTTTCTTCGACTCGATTCCACTTGAAGAAGAACGCAGAAAAGCAATCACACCACATTACACACCCATATTTTTCTTCTTCGCACTTTCCACCGATTTGCGTTACACCAAAAACGGAAGAAATTTCTTCTGCTGCTGCTCGACGTCGGACTTACCGGATGGAATCACACACGGAAGTTTTCCCCTCTTTCGGAGCTGCGATCTACTAATGAAGGCACTTTTGCACTGTATTTCGAGACACTTCCGACAAGTCCGTCCGCAAGTTGGCACGGAAATTTCACTTTCAATGCATTTTTCGGGAGGAGAGTTTCGGGAGAAAAAAAATCGCAAGAGGAAAATTGATACGCGACCGATCCCGATGACTCGAACTGACAGAATGTCCACGAAGACGACGAGACGAACTGGGAAAAGATGAAGATGAATGAAATTTTTGAATGAACTGCGAGCGCAAACACGAACTTAAACAGGGACGAAATCAGGGGACAAACCCATTTGAAGTCGAATGTCTTATACCCTGGACAGACTATGGCTTATATCATGTAATATAGGCTGTCTTGCAATGAGCACTCATACATAGGATTTCCAGTGAAAACTAGATGTATGAGTGCTCATTGCAAGACAGTCTATATTACATGATATAAGCCATAGTCTGTACGGGGTATTAGGGTATTAGGTCAGGTATGGCATCTGCTAGCATGTCAAAACATCATGTCGACGACGTTCGCCACACGCAGCACGACTTCGACATGTTGCATGATGTCACATCATTGCCACACCTGTGGTAAATTTTTCACGGGGGCGATCACGCATTTCGGCGGAGCTCACATCAATGTGATGAATATAGTAGGTGAGAATGACTGCAACAGACTACTGAGACTGCTCTTTCTAGCATTCAGCAATGCGATGCAAGTGTGAAAGAGCTATGGGCGGACAGATAGCAGAGCATTCAACAATCCGGATAGTTCTCGGAATTCGACGGAATAAAGAACCTAACCTGACCGATTGCAAACTGCGTCTTTATTTATTGATGGAACGTTTTACAATGACAAAAGATAGATTGAAAATGTTGTTTACTGTCCCTCTCTATAGTCCATTCTATGTGCGCGGGTATTGATGGTCCGAAAGTGAGGATAACGATAACAAACCAACATTTTTGGCTGGAGCGAAAGTGAGGATAACAAACTTCGCACTTGAAAATGGGATTACGGATTACGCAAGTGTGCATTAGAGTGATGCAAAATTTGAAAATTTCGCTCCATAATACTTAAAGGATTCCAAATCGGATTCTGACTAACCTCTTAAAATTTGAACCCGGTTGGTGAGAAACTGAGATGGCACAAACCATTTGAAGTTTGTATGGGAATTACTATGGTAAAACCAAGATTTTTGTTCATGTCTATCTAATAATTCACCACATTGGTCTGCTTCAAAAGCTTTCAACTGTTCTAGTAGAAATTTTTTTCAGCTACAACTTTGCTGAAGACCACTTTTTGATTAAATGCAAGGATCGAAAGTTTTCAATGGTTCAATGCGCTGATGTCTTATGATCATGCTCAACCAACTGGTCAGCAGGCAACATTGGTGTTTCTGGGTCGTTGAATTGGACACAAAAATCATGGCTACTATGTAACACTGCAAAATACAGTGTTGCCTACAGAGCAGCTGCTTGATCATGTCATAAGTTCACCAATCTCTTTAATAATTAATAACTTTTTCCTGTCTCGTTTTACATAGAAATGATCTTTAGCAAAGTTGTAGCTGAGAAAATTTTCTATAATAATAGCTATCGAACTGTTTCGCAGCTCAATATGGAAAAAGACTCGAAGGCAATGAACAAAAAGTTGAGATTTCCCATAGTGATTTACATGTAAACTTCAAATGGCTTGTGCGAAGTCTGTTTCTAACCAAATGAGTTGTAACTTTTGGAGGCTAATCAGCACTGGCGTGCACAGGGTGGGGCAAGGTGGGGCAATTTCCCCTCCTTTTATAAATAAGATTTTTATTTTCACATTTACAAAATTATAATATAAAATAACATGATTTCTTGATAGCTTGGATTGAAGGTAAAATAACTTCATTTCATATAATAAGGCCACTGAAATCCTTTAATTGCGTCAATTTCTTTGAGATGGTGCCTGAAAATTGCACAAAAAAGTTGCATGAAATGACAAACTTCAATTGGGTCAAAAAATTGCACCCCAGTGGTGCATACAAAAAAATTCTTGTGTAAATTTTTTAAGGGTGGTTCATGGAGGGTTAAAAAAAGAGGGTACATTTAAAGTTGAAAAAATTCACCTTCGTGGTGGTAACTCGAAGAAAAAGCTTTTTATTGAATATTTTCGGTGTTAAAATATCATCGAGGTGGGGCATGGAGGGACTGATCAAAATGAATAACTCTGGTGTAAAAATTGAATCACGCTAAAAATTTGGAGGAGCACATTTTACTGAAAATTTCTGGTGGAAAGTTCGCAACACTGTGGTGAATGTAGAAGCAAGGTTTATTAATTTTTCTGGTGCATAATTTGCATCGTTCTGATGAATGCAAGCTTAATTGAAAATTTATGGTGGAAAATTTGCACGATTCTGGTACATGAAGAGACAAAGCTTGAAAATTGCATCATAAAAAGGTGCATGGTGAAACAAACTTCACTGACAATTTTTGGTGCACCGTTCTGGTGAATGGAGGAGCATGCTTTATTGAAAAATTTTGGAGCAAAATTTGCATTGCTCTGATAAATGAGTTAATGAATATTTCTGGTGGAAACTTACACTGGTCTGATAAATGATGGTACAAGCTTTATTTAAAATTAAACAATATTGAAAATTTCTGGTGGAAAATCTGCACCGTTGGGTGGAAAATCTGCACCGGATGGGCAAGCTTCTTTGATTTTTTTTTTAGTTTGCATTTTTCTGCTGAATAGAGAAACAAAGTTTAATAATAATTTCTGGCCTAAAATTTGCACAATTCTGACGATTGGAGGGAAGCTGTTTTACTGACAATTTATGATGAAAAGTCTGAAAATAGGGGCAAGCTTTATTTGGAGGAAAACCTGCAATATTCTAATGATAGGAGAAGCAAGCTATAAGGAAATCTGCACCAATCAGAAGATTGGAGAAGCAATTTTTATTGAACATTAACGGTGAAAAATTTGCATCGTTCTGATCAATTGAAATTTTCTGGTGTAAAATTTTATGGGGGCAAGTTTGTGTTGAAAATTTCTGGTGTAAGATTTGCAACAATCTGCTGCATGGGAGGCAAGCTGAATTCAAAATTTCTGGTGTAAGATTTGCAACAATCTGGTGCATGGGAGGCAAGCTGAATTAAAAATTCCTGATGTAAAAATTGCACAGTTCTGGTAAATTGAGGGGCAAGCTTTATTGGACATTTCTGGTAGAAAAACTACAACGTTTTGGTGAATGGACGGACAACTTAAACTTGACTTCCGAGAAGAACCTCAAGGGTATTGAATTCTGACGACAGTTCTAAAAGAAAACATTTCTGGGGATGAGTCCATGAAAAATCTGCAAATAATTTCCAGTGAATCCTGCAGATAGTTCCGAATAAGAATACTGAGAGAATCAAATTTTGAATGAAATTCCAAAGGGATGTTGAGAAAAATTTCAAGGGAGTTCCGAGGATAACTTCAAGCGCATTTTGGGAAGAACTTCTGGAGAATACAGAGGAAATTTTTCTGAAACTTTAGAGGAATTTCAGTTCCAAGGCGTTCTGAAAAAAAAAAGTTCGAAAATAATCCGAGAAGGATCTCAAGAATATTGAATTCTTATGGATTCTGGGGAGAATTTAAAGAAAATTCTGCTGATTATTTTTAGTGCATCTTGCAGATAGTTCCAAGATTATTTCGAAAAGAATACCGAGAAAATCAAATTCAGTGCCAACATTTCCAAAGGGCGTAATTGCTTTTGTAAATAATGGCTTAAGCCGTCAATTTCTCGCGAATGAAATCTCACCCCTCCAAAATAACAATGCTAGCTGGTAGAGGAAACATTTTTTCTACCTGTTGGTGTCATTATTTTTCATGAGTGAGCTTTAATTCACGTGAAATCGACGGCTAAAGCCATTGTTTACAAATGCAATTACGCCCCTTTGAAATGTTGGCACTGAATTTTGAGTGAAATTCCAAAGGGATTTTAAGCAAAAGTTCAAGCAAATTCCGAGGATAATTTTTAGCTCTTTCAGTTCCAATGTGTTCTGAGAAAAAATCATGAAGATTTCAAAATATAATTCCAGTGGACTTCTGAGAAGAACTTCAAAAGAGCTCTTAGGAGAGTTCTAAAAAAAATCCGAGAAGAATCTAAAGGATACTGAATACTGAGGACAGTTCCAAAGGATTTCTGGGGAGTATTCCAAGAAAATACTGCCTATAATTTCTAGTGAATCTTGCAGATAGTTCCAAGATGATTTGGAAAAGAATACATAGATTATTAAATTTTGAGTGGAATTCCAAAGTAATTTTAAGGAAAATTTCAAGGGAGTACTGATAATTTCTAGCTCTAGCCGGGAATAATTTTTTTTGAGGAAATTCTTCTGAAACTCTAAGGGAATTGTTCAGTTGCAAGGTGTTCTGAGTAAAAGGCAAAAAGAGATCTAAAAATAATTCCAGAGGACTTCTGAGAAGAATTTCAAAAGTGCTCACAGAGCTCTAAAAATTTCGAAAAGAACCTCAATGAATTCTGAGGATGGACTTTTTCGCAACTGTACAAAGTTTAAAGACAGCTTTTGGATTCCCTTGCAACACCCTTGAAAAGTACGTATTAGCATAGAGGTAACTCTAAGACCACTGAGTCCCGAAGAAAATCATTATTATTTTTGGCTCACTCAGTACCAGAACAACGGTCCCAAGCAGTCCCAAGCTATTTCACTCACCCCTGCATGTTCTGCGTGAATCCACACACCCCTGATGTTATCTGTCAAACTTTCATAGCGAATCAAAGCAAACATAGTGTAGTAATAGAATTTCAACTAGAATAGGGTACGTTAATCGTTTGCTTGGGACCAATAGGCTACTAAAGTGGTGAGCCAATTTAAAATCGTTAGTTTCGTATTGATTGTTGGTATTAGTTTGCCATTGAACCTTGATATTACTAAAAAAAATCATCTAAGAATCTTCTCTGAAAATTTCAAGTCATTTTTTACCGTGGTTAAAAAGTTACAGCTGTTTATGTGCGTTGCAATAAATTCGGGTTTGTCCTTTATATCATCTTTAAAACATGTTGAATGCTCGGAATCATTTTCTGTCACCTCGACTGGCAGTACTTTGGGACGGTTCACGACGGATGGGATTAAATTGCCAAATTCCATTGGCTGTCTGAAAGCAGTTTGCATTGAAGAAGATGAACCACCACCGGAGCAAAAAATAAATAAAATTAGCTAAATTAAACAGTAGGGAAACAGTGGTGGGTGGACCACGCACTTTGGAGTACTCCCCATCCCCAGACTAAATGCACCATAGAAAAAAATTGCCCCTCCTTAACAAGATTCCTGTACACGCTAGTGCTAATCAGGACCCGAATTGAAACCATTTAAGCACTGTGGAGCGAAAAAGTCAAATTTTGCATCAGTCTAGTGTGCATGTTATGAACGTCAGAAAGCTCAATGCACAGGACTCAAAACATGCTGGCAAACATGTAATACCCTGGACATACTATGGCTTATATCATGTAATATAGGCTGTCTTGCAATGAGCACTCATACATAGGATTTCCAGTGAAAACTAGATGTATGAGTGCTCATTGCAAGCTAGCCTATATTACATGATATAAACCATAGTCTGTCCGGGGTATAAGGGTTCGTTCGCATATTAACGTAACGCAATTTTTATCATGTAATATAGGCTGTCTTGCAATGAGCACTCATATATCTAGTTTTCACTGGAAATCCCATGTATGAGTGCTCATTGCAAGACAGCCTATATTACATGATATAAGCCGTAGTCTGTCCGGGGTATTAGCAACAATCAATACGAAACTAACGATTTTAAATTGGCTCACCACTTTAGTAGCCTATTGGTCCCAAGCAAACGATTAACGTACCCTATTCTAGTTGAAATTCTATTACTACACTATGTTTGTTTTGATTCGCTATGAAAGTTTGACAGATAACATCAGGGGTGTGTGGATTCATGCAGAACATGCAGGGGTGAGTGAAATAGCTTGGGACTGCTTGGGACCGTTGTTCTGGTACTGAGTGAGCCAAAAATAATAATGATTTTCTTCGGGACCCAGTGGTCTTAGAGTTACCTCTATGGTATTAGGGAGTTGAAACGTAATTTCATAAAATCTAATCTGCAAAACGATTATTTTTATCAGTTTTAGCGTCTAGGCTCGATTTATGTTGTACTACTGTAAAATACATTCAACTCTAGCCTGATCTAGTAATTCTTTTTCAATACTACTGTTAATTTCATAAAAAGCATTTGTAATATTTTTAGAGAAAAAACCGGTTACCATGTCTGTTTTGCTTTTATTCACTATATTCTTTCATGTATCATAACGTCAAATATATCATATTAACAATATGATCCATTCATACCTTTTCCAAATATTGCAATGGCGACCTGCAAAATATTGCTGCACGCACCATCTAGCGTTGAAAAAGGTCAGCAACAATCATTCATTTACAATCAAGGGGTGCACTTATTACAAAAATAAGAGTCACATTATTTTCATTAATTGCATTGTTTATATTACTTTAAAATTTGTCTGGCATGTCACTGTTGTCATCAAATAAAATAACATGCTGAAATACATTCATTTGAAATATTGAACAAATTTTCATTTGGTTTACCCCTCGTGACGATAAACAAATACAGGGTGCGTGACGAATTTTTGCAGTAAATGGCATATTTGAGAAAAAATACACCAGTTAGTTATTCTAGCAATGAATTTTGTGCGATTTATTTTCTTTCGCAACATATGGAAGTTGTAAGTAAATTTTTTCAAAAAAATTGCCTTCCCTTTCGACGACTGTAGTTAGACCATGGACCCAAAGGTCAGGACCAATAGCGTGGAAGGAATTTATCGAAAAATCATGGTTCTCGGTAATAGAATGGAAGTGCACGCAGTAGTAGGTTTTTTTAGATTTGTGGGTAGTTATATTTTTGAGTGCATGGGGGAATGCTGTCAAAAATGCTGTCGGTTTGTTTACCAACAATAGCTGACGTTTTGTTTTAACCTAACAAGAAGAACAACGATATTCCGGAAGCTTCACCGCCGAAACGAGCCAAAGCAACTAACGGCTATTGGATGCCTTCCGGAACGGGAACGTGAAACTGAAGATCTGGCAAAGTATATTGAAGACATTTTATCGGAAAATGGTTCCGGCAGTTTGTACATAAGGTAAGTAGTTGTGTTTTGCGTTATGCGAACCAGATCTGATCTGACATTTAATTGATTTTAGTGGCCCTCCTGGAACGGGAAAAACAGCTACTCACCAGGATTATAAGTGATCAAAAGCTGGCTAGCAAACTTAACATGGTTTACGTAAACTGCACATCAATCAGCACTGCTGGGGGTATCTATAAGAAAATATGCGAAGGACTGAAGCTTTCGGTTGGTGGAACAACGGAGAAATTCTATCTAGTAGCTATCGAAGAATACCTGAAAAAGAAGCACAAAACTAGAAGCACCGGGAGGTCCATGGTGCAAAGAGTGCGTATCATTTTGTCATTTTTTTATGCATTTCAGTTTTGAGTAGAGTGAAAGAGATAGAACCAAAACATTCTAGTACATTTGGTGAAAATGCTAGTTCAATCTGATAGTAGTGTTGCCATGTGGTACAATCAACAATCAATACGAAACTAACGATTTTAAATTGGCTCACCACTTTAGTAGCCTATTGGTCCCAAGCAAACGATAAACGTACCCTATTCTAGTTGAAATTCTATTACTACACTATGTTTGTTTTGATTCGCTATGAAAGTTTGACAGATAACATCAGGGGTGTGTGGATTAATGCAGAACATGCAGGGGTGAGTGAAATAGCTTGGGACTGCTTGGGACCGTTGTTCTGGTACTGAGTGAGCCAAAAATAATAATGATTTTCTTTGGGACCCAGTGGTCCCACAGACATACAAATTAGTACCGTTGTACTCCTTTAATCAAGTACCTCAAAACGTACAATTTGTGGTACTAGCTTAAAGCAGTACAACGGTAGTACAACTGGTACAACAGTGAACTTTGTATGTCTGTACAAGGTATTACCATAGAGGTAACTCTAAGACCACTGGGTCCCGAAGAAAATCATTATTATTTTTGGCTCACTCAGTACCAGAACAACGGTCCCAAGCAGTCCCAAGCTATTTCACTCACCCCTGGATGTTCTGCATGAATCCACACACCCCTGATGTTATCTGTCAAACTTTCATAGCGAATCAAAACAAACATAGTGTAGTAATAGAATTTCAACTAGAATAGGGTACGTTAATCGTTTGCTTGGGACCAATAGGCTACTAAAGTGGTGAGCCAATTTAAAATCGTTAGTTTCGTATTGATTGTTGGTACAACGGTAGTACAACAGTGAACTTTGTATGTCTGTACAAGGTATTAATCGTTTGCTTGGGACCAATAGGCTACTAAAGTGGTGAGCCAATTTAAAATCGTTAGTTTCGTATTGATTGTTGGTATTACACAACCGGCGGAATGATCTCTGTGCAGCTTTTTTTGCTGTGTGTAAAACTTAAATTCAGTGCCAACATTTCAAAGGGGCGTAATTGCATTTCTAAACAATGACTTTAGCCATCGATTTCTCGCGAATAAACGCTCACTCTTGAAAAATAATGACACCAATAGGTAGAGGAATATTTCCTCTATCATCTAGCATTGCTATTTTGAAGGAGTGAGCTTTAAGATGCGAGAAATCGACAGCTAAAGCCATTGTTTACAAAAGCAATTACGCTCCTATGAAATGTTGGCACTGAATTATTTTTTTTATCGTTCAACCCTGGTTGTGACAAGCTCGTTGGGCCCATCTTCTCGTTCATCCTCCCAGGTTCATCCAAGTTGTGCATGAATTATTCATTCGCATCTGAAAGCTTCACCCGACAGTAACTGTCATTTTTCGCGCGTTCTTCTGCTTCAAAACAAAGGCTTTTCGCTTCCGACCGGTCGCTCGTGTTGCATTTTCTCATTCAATTTACACGAATTTTCTTGGCCAAAACAGTGAAGTTCCTTTGATTCAGTTTATTAATCAGTGCTTACCGGTCGACACATCACGTCCAAAATGAACGATAGTTGTAAGTATCCGGACATTGCTTGCATTTTCCCAGAAACTGATTGCCTACTCTCCGTCCTCAGTTGGTGCCGGAGGTTTCAACGCCAATGCCACCGGTGGTGGCGCCGCACAGGAGAACAAAGCCGAAGGAGTTCTCCCGCTTACCATCGGCCAGGTTCAGGAATCGTCGGATAGTGGCATACAGCTATTCGGGATACACTACAGCATGATCACGTTTGTCGCCATCGTGCGGAACATTGATCACTCCTCGACGAAGATCACCTACCGGCTGGAGGATCACACCGGTCAGGTAGATGCCCACCTTTGGCTGGAGGAAGGTGAGACGATGCACGTTCCGGGTATCGTTGCGCACATGTATGCCCGGGTGGTCGGTTCGGTTCGCCATCAGGGCGGCAGCAAGGCGGTGATGATTTTCAAAATCGATCCGGTCAGTTCGCCGAACGAAGTGACGACCCATCTACTGGAGGTGCTGAATGCTCGCTACAAGGGCGAGGAGTACTCCAAGAGTGGCAGTGGCGGTGGAGGTGAAATGTCAGGTGCCTCAGGGGAGAAGCCTAGCGCTTCCAGCGGTGGGTTCATGGAAACGGACGGGAATACGATGGGGCTCACGGGCAAGCAGCTGGCCGTGTACAAGGCGATTAAGAGTCACATCTCCGACATTGGCATCAGCCGGCAGGAGCTGCAGAAGAAGTTTGCGCACATCAATGGCACGGAGATGCAGTAAGTGGATTTTTCCGTTGTTGGTTGGTTTTGATTTTAATTGAATTCGTGTTTTTTTTTTCTAGGAGCATAACGGATTACATGACTCAGGAAGGAATCGTCTATACCAGTGTGGATTCGGACCACTTCCTGTGTGTGGACTCGTAATGCATGGGCGGGCGAAATTCCTTGGTACAAATTATAAGGTATTTATAAGCATCCATATACTCCTACAGTCTGTTTATGTTAAATATGAATATCAGGAAAATAATAATAATTCGTATAAAATAACATTTAAAGTCAAACATTTTTGATTAATTGCTTTTAATTACATTTATGATGACAAGATCCCTTTGGTTAAGAATCTTCTAGTTTCCTGCTAAGGGAGATTGTCATTCATCAATCTTAAGCGTAATTATTATCGGGCATTTGCTGCTACCGATACATTCGTACACTGAGGCTAAGGAACATTAGAATTCCATAAGAACCTATTATGAATTTTCGACGTAAGGATTTGTTATGGAAATCATAAGAATGAAACAGCATTCATAAGTTGGCTTATAAGCTTCATAAATGAAACTTTAAAAAAAGCAATATAAAATGTAGCAGACCGGAATCGAATCTTGAGCGTTCCGATTATTAAATCCGTGATTTGTTCCCACATCTATCAACGCTTGGGAAAAGATTGGGTTAAAGGTGTATAAGAACATGCATCAAGCATAAATTTGGTCATGCTGTCAAAATTTTTCTGTAACACTGTACATATGATGCACTTTGATCCAGGGAAGTACTCAAAATCCCGGGTTAAAGTACCTTTAATGGCTTGATATCAGGAGAAAACGTCGTTGCACAGATTCAATTCGCTCGGCCCCATTATTGTAGTTCGGGCTCCAGACTGCATAGCAGTATTCCAACGTAGATCGTACGAAAGAGCAATAGAGCGATTTCAAGCAGTAAATGTCTGTGAAATTCTTAGTAATCTTGAAGACAAAGCCAAGAGTTCTGGACGCTTTGTCGACGACATACGATATATGCTTTGAGTCCAGAAAAACGCCTAAGTCTTTCACGCAATGCACCCGTTCGATAGTCGTGCCTAGTAGTTTCTAGTTGAAAATAATCGGTTGTTTCTTGCGTGAGAAAGTAATGATTGTACACTTAGCTGGGTTGCCCACCAGTCGGCGAGTGAGCGGATGCGCAGAAAAACTTCCAGATCGTCTGCAAACGATAATCGTGGCCCTGTGATAACATGGTGAACGTCGTCGAAGTAAAGGAGACATACCAATGGTCCCAGGTGGCTACCCTGAGGTATACCGGACTTTGCGCAGAAGCTTGCTGAGCGACAAGTACTCAAAGCTACTGTCAGTTGGCGCTCCGTGAGGCAAGAACGAAACCATCTGAAAAGATTTCCACCGATCCCTAGCCTATCAAGCTTAGCGATCACAATTTAGTGGTTCAGCTTATCGAAGGCTGCCGTAAGATCTGTGTAAATAACGTCCATTTGGAATCAAACGGTCTGTGATTTAAGACACAGCAGGTTCCTAGTTGTGGAACGCCCAGTCATGAATCCGTGTTGATCTATACTTATATATTGCGCATTTAGGGACTCTATGACAACCAATTCAAACAGTTTTGATACAGCACTCAGCGACGTGATTTCCCAGTAGTTGTTTACGTCGCGTTTGCTTCCCTTTTTAAGAACAGGAAACATATCCGCAGTCTTCCAGCAAGACGGAAATATGCCGCTGGAAAGAGAGAGCTGGAATATGCTGCGCAGTGTGCTTTTTAAGAATAATCGACGGAACACCATCGGGTCCAGCCTTACCTGAAGTCTTAAGTTTAGATGCTGATCTAGAAATCGTATCTGTAGTGTCGTCGACAACGCTAAGCGTTTGGTTGACCAAAGGAACATTACTGGCCGCGGAAGTAATGAGATTAGCTCGTCTTTCTAGTCTAGTCTAGTCTAGTCTACACATACACAGCCAGTACTTGAAAGAATCCTGGAAAATGATACATCTATCATTTTTCTTGTCATTATTAATGCCTGCTGCACATCAAGGATGTGAAACAAACAATAAAGCGGCCAGGCCTACTGTGTAGCGTTTAGTTAATTTTTGTGGAAGTGAATGTTTACCATGTCTACTTAATAAGTATAGACAGTGGTTAACATTTAATCCACAGGTAATCAAAGAGCGGGGACATACCGTACCAACCGCTCCGTATGCAGGATTTGAAAATAGGCTATATAAATCGTTGGGAGTGACAGAGCTAAGAAAGTTAATGTACACTCCTTGGTTGTCCGATCTCCTGGGATGGAACACAGGTATTTACCCCTTGTGTTCGAGCGAACAGTCCTCCCTCCGTACAAGCGTGGACGGCACCGCCAACCCACTGCCATCCCTCAATCGATCCAGCCGACCTCAGTTGAAGGACAACGGAGAGCGGTGTGCGGACGTAACCTATACGGAGGGAATGCTGTATTCGCCTAGGTTATAGCGCCCTTGCTCGCTACCATTTTCTTCTAGCGGTTGGGACCTGAGCACTAACTCTTGTCCTAGCCCTATATGGCATATGGTTATAGCGCCATTACTCGCTTTCTGAAAAGAGAAGAAGGGAAGGGAAGGAGAGGAAAAGGACTTGGGAAAAGGAAATGCGGAATTCCTTTCCTCATTAGTATTTGTATCGTCAACTTTTATGAAAATATATATAAATCATTTTTCCTTGGTCAGAAGTATTATTACGACATTTGAATAAGATTGTCTTATCATTTGTTATTCAAAATTTAATGTTATAATGATCAACATAGCTTTGAATTATCTAATATAAATCGGTAACACTGTCCTGCAACCGATTATTTTTCTAATCCGAAAACTAAAAATTACGAAAAAGCACTTAGGCCTTCATTAAGTTCCACTTTCACGCGACGTTCAATGTTTCGCGGTTTGCTCTTTACGCATTGTTCAGGCTATCATAACAAGCTATGACCAACGTGACGATTGCTTATGCCCTGGTTAAACAAGTAAACAAGTTATTAAAATGAAATCATGTTCCCGAAAGCAGTCAACAATGTATCTTAAACCGGATCAAGCGTGCGCCCTATTTTTCTAAACATTCCGACGCGGTCCGCCCAATATCTATCAATTACGTTTTTCTACAATAGTAGCCTGGGATAAATCCTAATTCGACCGACACGTGTTTGTTGAAACATTATATTCTGCCTAATATCAGTAGTCAGTAGTCATTAGGAAACCTGTTACTATATTACCACATATGTATCCTTCTTTCATGAATTTGTCCACTGACTGGCAGTGGCATTATGGATAAAATCCTCCTGGAACCATCTTTTATATAAATAATTTCAAGAAGCTTAAATCCGGGAGTTAGAAGGTGACAGCTCTATCACAACTCCTAAAGCCCATTTCAAGAACGCAAACATTCCGAAGCTTTTTTCGTATATGATAAGCCCCGCTCCAATACATTTCAATGTAGGAATCATTAATAATGTACTGGGACTTTCAACCAAGCGGTATTGCTTGATTGACGCGTATTTAATGAGTTGGAAATGTTTGTAGTATCACTAGTACTAGTACTCGGAAATTAAGTATGAAAATATTGTAAAGGACAAAATGGAACGAACTCACCAAATCTGGCCAAGTGAACCTAACAAGCTGGCATGATGTGTTAGAGGGGAAGTCGCAATTGTAGACGGTTGGCTTCACAGGGTAATCCGGTTTGTGGTAAAGCTTGCACGGAATGTATAGTCTTGACATACGTCTTGGCCGTCTGATACAATCCACATATGTTAGAAAAAAATCCGGAGCAACGCAACATCCATAAATTTAACGGGATGAATTTTCTTCGCTTCCATCTACAAGCACAACACTCTTCTATCTCCCACCGGTTTGTCCACTCGTGGTTGTCTAATAATCCGTTCGTTTCTATTTGTTGTAACAACCGAGCACTTACACACGAAATTATTGATTAAGTTTCAGTTGACGGAGTTTTTCAATTCTCTTACTAAATTTTCACTAAACACTCAGTAAAATTCGCGAAAAATAAAGCAGCAGCATAAACAAAACACGTCAGATCCAATGCACGGCCTACCTCGATCTCCCTAATGAGATTAGCTCGTCTTTCTTCAAACAAACTAGCAAATTTGCCTGAGAACAGGTTGCAAATGTCTTGTTGATTGCCAGCAGTTTCACCATTAAAAATTATGGAAGAGGAGAGGGTCGAGTCGACTTCCCTGCGTTGCTCATTTACGAAGCTCCAGAAGGATTTCGGGTATGATTTTAGCCGCCGTTGAATCCTCCTTTGATAGCGTTGAAAACAGAGACGACTTAACCGCTTATACTCGTGGTTGAGTCTGACATAGTAGCATTTCAGCGGCATTGTGCGGAATTTAGTAAATATTCTGAAGATCTTTCGCCATCCACGGGACGCGAGAGTCGATATGGATGATCTTTTTTGGAAACGTGCCTGTCAATGACATATGCCAAGACGTGAGAAAAGGTTTGTGCAGCAATGTTGACGTCTATAGGATCTAGAATATGCTCCCAATCTAGGTTAGACAGCACATGAACAATACTGCTCTACGGAAGTCATATGTGGAGTGCTGATGAAATCATGGAAATTATTATTTTCAATCACCATAACTAAAGCAGGGTGATGATACACTTCCTTGACTAAAGGTTCGGGTGACGTGGAGAGGAAAGGAGCTGTACCACGCCACGAGCACTCACAAAGCAGAGATCCAGGGTGCGGTTGTTTTCATTCAACAGGCCATTGCTTTGTAACAGAATTGCGGTACTGTAAACTGTCCAGGAGCTGGATGGTTCCTACGTGGAAAGATGAACGCTCGTGATCAGGACAAAAGAAACCAGTATGGATTGGAGTCCATACAATGTCCGGTAGGTTAAAATCGCCAAAAACAATAACTTCGTCGGAAGGGCCTGCTTTGTCTGAAGCGACCAAGGCGGATCGACAATGTGCGTCAATAAGCTCCAAGTCACGGGTTCGATCTGGATGGATGTACACTGCACAAAGGGCGTAGTTTGAGCGAAATATATATTTTTTTATAAAATTTAGAAGTGAATTAAAGCCTTTACATCGTTGGCGTCCCCTGGGCATTGGCATAACCTTGAGGATTGCTTGACTGCAACCAAGTCCCAGGGCTTGTCTGTAACTTTAAATTTTGAAAGTGTGATACCAGTTGTGATGCCAGTTGTGATGTAGCAGTCCAAAAGTTTGCTGGTATTT